ATCACGACATGTGATTTTTGTGTGTACTTGTAGATAGGTTTAAATATAGGAGCTGTCTTCAATTTGATTTGAGTTTCTCCCAGCAAAGATCTATGCACACACTTGGTCCCTCCTTCAGGCAATTATTTTAGCATCTGTCTGAATCCTGCATGTGATCTTCCTGTGATTGTCCCCAGTAAGGCATGACCCCTGCCTTTAAATCAAGGTGTGTGCTTAAGCTCTCATTGAATGGAGTTTTTAAACTCAAGAACGCTTTTGGTGTGTTCTGTCAGCTGCTTCCATTCATAAAATTAAACAGAAAAATCCTTTGCAGGACTGGAGGGAATTTACAGAGACTGCACTGTGAGATAACTTACTGTCTTTCCCATGTAAAAATGCATTTAAATACTAGGTGACCTTAATGGAACTATTTCATACATTGCCAAATCTTCACAGAAATATTATTTTTTATTTTTTTTTTCCTATGGGAAAGAAGTGCAATCATGTTTAAACTTTCCAAGTGTCTCCCCTGCCACAGCATCAGTGCTGTGCAGCAGCATGAGCCACAAATGAGGGTTTCCTGGGCTTGTGCTCATTGTAACCTCGTGCTGATCTCGTTGAAGTTCAGCCACCGAGTAATTCCGAGACTCACTGAAAGTGAGATGTAATTTTTACTCAAGATGTCCAATTACAACAACCCCCACAGCGAGGGACTCATTCAGGGCCTTTCCTGATAAAGGTGTCCAAGACTTTGTCTGCTATTGTGTTGAAACAAAAAAGAGAAAAAGTGTATTTCTGTTCTTCTCAGAGCTATGGCAGGAGAAGAAAAGGGTGATAGTGAGGTTTGCAGTGGTGGTTTTAGCTTAGTGATAAATACCAGGAAGGAAATGTTGCTTCACTTTCAGGTGAAATGGCACAGAAAGTATCCAATCAGCCAGTCCTTACCTCTTTTAAGAGGTAAAAAACAACCACTGTTGTTTTTTTCTTTGATTTGCCTCATCAGTCTTGCATTAAGGAGGAATCAGATAGGGATTCAGAATGAAAGAAAAAAAAAAGAATCACAGCTACAAGCTCCAAGAAGTGCCAAGACACATTTGTAAAGATTATTTAAACATGCTGAAAACGTGTTTCCTTTCCCCAGAAGGAAAAGCCTTAACCTGTACACCTAAGTAGATGTATTTCAAGTAAATGATTTCCTAGATTCAGTGCTGTGCAGAAGATTACTGGCCTTTACACAATACCGAGGTCAGGCAGTAAAGTTTTGTTGGCAGCAGTGGTTTTTTATTGTGCTTCCTTAGACACAATGCTTGCTGGCTATTTGGGAATGCAAAATCCAAGTGATTGATCTCAGGCTCTCCGTCAGCCTTTTGGAAATAAAAGGAAGGGCTGAAATTTCCCAAGGAGTGTCTCAAAGCTGAGATACTCCTGGGTTCACCTGGGCAGTGTGAGCACCTGGAAGAGCTGAGTGGATTACCCATGAGTTAGGAAATGAGCCCTAAGTCAAGAAAGGCTGCTTATCTGACAGTTTAAACAACAAATCTCCCACGAGGTGGGATCTTGTCCGTGATGGGAAGATTATGCTCCTTCTGTTTAATTAGCAGCCATCTGAATGAGAATAGGTGGTGACTAATAAATAGGCTAATAAAGTTTTCTGCTTTACAGCTCTTGCTGTAGGCCTGGATTTTTTAGCTCATTTTATGTGACAAGTCAGTCTGCCACCCAACACGACTGTGAGTTTGTGCAGTGCCATGTAAGGAAATCCTCCCTGAAAATGTGGAACTTATAAAATATCCTCATGGGCTTTTGAAGCCATCATACCCAAACTCCTCCTGTGAGGCAAGAGAATACATTTTCCCTGTTTTATGGGCTGTGAATGGCCATCCAAGTGCATTATCTACTGCCAGTAGGAAGCCTGAAGAGCTGAACCCCAACTCAGCTCCATCTCTAAGCCATGGATCATCCACACTCTGCAGGAAAATTTTCAGGGCCTTTTAGCAGGGAAAGCCAGGACAAATAAATCCAGCGTGACAGAGATTTTGATTTAAACAATAAAACCCAAAAGAAGTACAAGATTAACTGATTATTACAGTATTATTAAAAGCATAAAGTGTATAAACTCCAGTTTTCATTCCTGAAATGATGGTCAGGCAGACTCCCCGAGGACCAAATGAAGGTACAGGGACCAAACTCTTGTCCCTGGGGCTAGGTTGATTTTAAAATTTCCCTTCAACCCAAAGCATTGCGAGATTCTGAGATTGCTCTGGACTTTCCTCTGCACACCCACCTCAGCTGGAGGAGAGGCATGGTCAGCCAAACCTCCTCTGAGGTGCATTTTGAGTCCTGTACATAATTAAGATGATATGTACAGGAATGTACACTCTGGAACTGCTTTGCATTTTAATACAGAGAAAAAAAAAAAAAAAAGTCACGTCTGTTGTGCTAATGCTGCTTAAAAGCCAGAGTAGGGACAGTTTTTAGGTCACTGTGCAATCAATCACCCAGTGTCAATAGAGCTGACAAGGACTAAAAACCTAACAGCAACTTTTCTTCCATGTGTTCACTAAGTGTTTGATCCTGTTTAGGTTTTGTCTTATGAATGACACAGCTAAGAGCATTGCCAAAGGTATTTTCCCATTAATTTCTTGCTGGTATGTGTTTACTGCAGATGGTGCACCCAGATCTACAGTAGTGAAAACCAGATTCATGCCTATGTTCATGCAAAGATCTAGTCCATAAGAGAGAAGCAAAATATTAGTTTATTTGTCTAGTAGCCTATTCCAGTCAAACTGTGAGAATCTCCTCGTATCATTGTCCCATTATCAGTGTCTAAATAAGGAATTGAAAAACTACAGAGGGGCTGGGTGGAGACCTAAGAAAGCAATTCAGCAGTCTGGAACTTCCTCTGCTAAGCAATTCTGGCACCAGAGCCAGGCAAAATCAGAGCTCCTCAGCCAAAATAAATCCGTGCAATGACGATATCAGATGTGAGGTAACAGCAAGTCATGCTGGAGGATATCAGACATTCTTGGACAAACCACAGCGCCCAGATGTAGTACTCTGCCACTACACTGCAGCCCTGCCAGCTAAGCAAACACAAATTTTTTGGAGTCATTTTGGCAAGGCAAGTGGGAGCATGTGGAGTCTGTGTGCTGAGGCTGGGAGCTGGCAGGCTGCTGAGCACCTCCAGCTCACACGCCCCCAGTAGCCGCTAAATATCCTCCGTTCCCACACTCCCACCCCTGTGGAAGCGAGCAGCTCTGCGGCATCACTTCCACAAGAAACAGGCTTGCAAGGCTTGTGGAAATCTTCTCTTGGCTCTCAGGACATTATTGATGTAACCTCCTGCCACTAACCTTAGGGTTTTGTTTAATTTTTGTGCGTGTCTGTGCACGCGCTCTTGAAAGCGAACGGATTCTTAGGCTTGGGTACATGAGTCGGTGTGCGCTGCAGCTTAGGACTGTAAAACACTGAAAAGTTGAGGTGGAGTTAATTTAGTTCCAGACAAAAAGGGGGATGTTTTATTGGAGGTAATAAATTCAGTGCAGAAGAAATTTATTCAGACTGTGCCGGTTAAATTGCCTGGATAATTAAAACCTGTGATGGGTAAGATGACACGTGGTAGGAAAAGGTTAAGTATTTAACTCATTTTCCTTTCACAGTTTGATTCATTGTAAGGTAAATACAACTTGTGTGGGGTATGTTAACTTTATTTCTAAAATGTGTTCACCCAGGCAGTGAATAGGGGTTATTTGACAAAGTTAAGAAAGTAGAAAGCTAAACTTTTATGACATTTATATGGGCCAGCTCTAGTCAGAAAGATGTAAGCACTGGGGAAAATATAAGCACTGCAGAAACGGTGTCATTTTGCCCATACAAGGGGCTAGCTTGCCTGGGTAGTGTCTGGCATTTATGTGAATTCCAGTTCTTACAGATATCTATTTTTATCCTTCCTTAAATTCTTCCTGGAGTGACACAACAGAAATCCCAGAAAAAAATCGTTAGGAATGGTTTCCAAATATTTTCTCATTTTTCTTCACATAACATTATGCAAATATCAGAATCTTGTGCTTTTTTTGGGAGCAAGGTGAGGGATTACCCCACCTCTGCTAGCTGGCAGGACAGGAGGCTGTATGTCCCCTGACAGGAACTGCTGCACAAGTTTCAATCAGTCTGACAAAAGTCTTGATACTTTTCCTCCTGATTGATTGTAAAAACAGACTGCATCCTCCTGAACTTTCATCCAGAAATGACATTGTGCTGGTATTTCACAGCCATTTGAAGGGTTTTTTTGTGAGTTTTCTTGTTTGTTTTGCACATATCAAAAACCATATTTCTACTTTCAGAAGATTAAGGGCATTCTGAAGAAGCATTTTCTGCTTTTATTCATGTGTTTTCACAGATGCTTGAGGCTGATTTTTCGACAGAGGGCAGAATTTGAATCACCATTTCTAAAGCTGAGAGGCTGATGTCTGGGCTCAGTCTGCCACCTAGCATTTTCAGTGGAAACACCAATTTCCAGTGGTTTTGGGGGCCACATTCTGACTCTTTCGCTTATGTTGCACCTAATTCTGCATGTCCTCCTGTGGAATGACTTCATTAACTGAATGAAGTCATCCAATGTCATAAATAATCCAAATCTGGGAAGCTGGTCTGTAATTTCTCACTTAGTAGATGTGCACTGATCAGGGTCATGGACTATTTACTCTATTTTCTCGCATTATACTTCATGGCATTTATGTAGGAAAGAGTGATTTTGACACTTAGGACCCAGTTTTCCTTGTGTCTCTTTGTTTTGTTCACCTGACATCAGTTTACAATAAAAGAGAAGTATAGAGCAGAATATTTTTTCCCTTGAGATAACTTTTAGTACAGTGGGAGGAAATGATAAAATCTACCTTTGCTTAGCAGCCTGAATCAAACAGCTGAGATTACTTTTCACCACAGGTGATACCATGTGCTCTTTTGTTTATGTAAATATTCTCCAGCACTGGGAATGATGGTTTTGCTTCTCTTTTCTGCAGCAATATGAGAACTGGAGACCAAACCAGCCAGACAGCTTCTTTTCTGCTGGAGAAGACTGTGTTGTTATAATCTGGCATGAGAACGGGCAGTGGAATGATGTCCCATGCAATTATCACCTTACTTACACCTGCAAGAAAGGAACAGGTACAAACTTGGCAGTGACAAAAGCATAATTTGCTAAATTGACATTCAGTACTTCTTACCATGTTCCCTGGACCTTGATGGATCCATCAGTGTTCAGTCCCTTTGAACAGCCTGTCATTGAGGATGACATGAAGAGTCCTGGAAAAGGGACTTTTTCCTTCAATGCTTGTAGTCACTGGTTTTCAGGTTTCTGAAAACAACCTCTTTGTGTGAGTATGCCAAGTTTTTGGCATGTTGAATTTACACTTAGAATTTAAGCCAAAAAGGCAATGCTGACCACAGTATCTGCCATTTTCCAACTTCCATCAGTATTGGTTTTGGTTTACAAGGCTGGAGATCTACAGGGCTGACCCATCCCCCTGTCCTGGTCTGGGTGTTCCTCTCGGGAGTCCAGCTGAGGTCCCTTGTCACCTTCCCTTAGCCAGGGCTCAGAGAGAGGCCAGTCCCAGTTCAAACTGAAGTTTTGGGTGATGCTCTCTCCTCCTTCCAGTGGCTTGTGGCCAGCCTCCCGTGGTGGAAAACGCAAAGACCTTCGGGAAGATGAAGCCCCGTTACGAGATCAACTCCCTGATCAGATACCACTGCAAGGACGGTTTCATCCAGCGCCACATCCCCACCATCCGCTGCCAGGGGAACGGACGATGGGATATGCCCAAAATCACTTGCATGAATCGTGAGTTCTCTGAATGAAAACCCGTGACAAATCACAAACTGCGGGCTGGTTTACGATTGAGAAGTTATGAATGTGGATCTGTAGAGAGGAGCAAATCTGGTAGGATGGATTATGGCAAGAAAAAAACCCCACCAAGCCTCCAAAAATAATGGGAAATTTTCCTCTTCTGTTTCTACTTGGAGTAGCCTTGGGAGTGGGTGCCTAGAACAGAGGCTAGACAGAGTTGAAAGAACTTAACCTTTACTAAAGGTTCCTTCAACAGATGCACCTTGGGCAGGCAGAAGCCTCCCAGGGGCTACACCCAAAATGGATGAGAGGTTTTCAGACAGTTATAACTTGGGTCCATTCACATCTCAGGGTTCACCCTGCAATTACAGCTTCAGCTAATGAAGTCATTTAGCCCCAGTTTGCTGCCCCCAAGTCACTTTTGTTTGTGCTTTTGGGGCCTGAGGCTGTGGGATGTGCTTGAGCTCCGGGCCCAGAGGGATTGTTGTGTGTGACCAAAGTGTGAGGACAGTGGCTGACACTCTGCATGCAGCTCGGAGCTGTGCACCAGTGCAGTACAGGTATTGGAAAAATATAAAGGCAAAAAATCCTAAGGCATCACTACAGAAGGCATGAAGATTTTTTTAAAGTTAGAAGATCCTTGTATCAGCAGTTTCCTAATAATGCCAGTGATTCTTCCTGCAGCTGTGTGTGTGCCTGTAACACTTCCACAGCTCCAGCTAATCATTTGTTAACCCCCTAATTAACCAAGAGTAAATGCAACTGTGCTGCAAGGTGCATCAGCCCATTTCCAGTTCTATTTTAAACGAATTTCCCTTTTTTTTTCTCTTTTTTTCCCCCCTTCTCTCCTCCCTTCTCTCTGCAGCCTCCACATACCAAAGGACTTACTCTAAGAAATACTACTACAAACACTCCTCATCAGGCAAGGGGACGTCGTTAAACTCGTCCAAGCACTACCACCGCTGGATCAGGACGTGGCAGGACTCCAGGCGCTGAGAGCTAAATGGTGAATTGGGGATTTCCACCATTTCAGCCAAAGTCGTAACTTTCTGTGCCTTTTTCTATCACTTATAGGAGTATTATCGTTTTTTTTGGGGACTGCAGTATTCACGGCGCGTTTTGCAAAAAAAAAAAAAAAAAAAAAATTAAATAAAAAAAAAAAAGAAATAAAAGGAAAAAAGAAAAATTACGGTGTTTATCAGAAAATTTAAGAAATAAATAAAAAAGAGGAGAAGTGCTTATGGGGATAAAAGGAAACCATTTCCAGCCTATAAAGATTATTAGTTTTCTATATGCCATCGGTGTGGACCATTTTATGATATGTACCAGCCTTCTGCAATATTTAAACAGCTCAATTTTAGCACCAATGAAAATGTAAATAAGATGATTTTAATGTTGTTTGACTGTGTGTTGTTTTTAAAATCGTGTATATAAAATGAAAAGTCACACTAATTTCAGGCATATTTATGGTTAGAACGGCCTCAGAGGTCTTCAGTCGTTTATGACGTTGTTTCTGTGTTGTTTACCTAGGCTGGAAATGGTTGAAATAAAGACTTCACTGACTGAAATTTGCATTTATCAGGTGAAGATAAACACACAAGTGACATGATGTTTTTTTTTTTAATGTTATTTTATTTTTTTTTTTTTATTTTTTTGGAATGGGAACTGTGCCAATTCCCACCCAAGGTACAGTTTGTGTCCCAGGAGATGAAAAGTTTAGACAGAGCACATAAAAGTGGCACAAAGCACGAAGGAGGGACTGCAATATGGAACGTTTTTTCCTGCTCTCCATTCCAGCTTCAGCACACATGAGAAAGGACTGCATGGAGGAGTTGTGTATGACAGAGAGAGCCTGTAAAATTCCAAGTGCTAATACATTAACTTTATCAACCAGGGCCACTTTTTTTTTTATTTTTTTTTCTTTTTTAGGAAGGAGGCAAAAAAAAAGGAAAAAAATTACTTTCACGATATTAACCACAAGGTCTATATTACAGGTCTCTGCATTCTAAAATGGAGGTAGACCTGGTGTTTGGGGGATTTTTTTTTTGTAGAAAACAAACAAAAAGCAAAAATAAATAATTTTGTATATATAACCATTTTTTAATCTTTTTATAAAGTAATGAATGTTTGTGTATGAATGCTGCAGCTGTGAAGCATACATAAATAAATGAAGTAAGCCATACTGATTTAATTTATTGGATGTTATTTTACCCATACAAAGAGGATTCAAAGAGCTCACCAAGTGCAGTATTAGCCCCTGAGCTCCACTTTTGGAACCATCTCTCAGTTCAGCTTGCTCTTTTTTCCCCAGAGGACAAAAATTCCTGCTAAAACAGGATCATTTGTTTGCGGCTAGGCGGGTGAGAGCTGTGCGTGACCGACAGAAGAATCAGGATCTTGGCTTTCTCTGAAGAAGTGTGTGCACAGATTGGTTCTAGGTTGTAGTTTGGTGCAGTGTGTCTGTAGGAGTTTTCTGTTGTGGTTTCTTGCCCTGGTCAGTGCCACCACTGGCCTGGATGTGTACAGTGAGGGTAGGAGGTGATGTTTGAAACGGCCTCTCCACGGAAAGGATTGTTATTCCTGAAAAGTGCCTTGCACACCTTTGGGCACAGGACAAAAAAACACTAAAAAAAAAAAAAAAAAAAAAAAAAAAAAGAGAAAAAAAAAGAGAAAAGAAAAGTTTAAAAAAGGAAAAAATAATGATGATTTAAAAAAAAAAAAAAAAAAAGTGAAAATAAAGCAAGCTCCTTAGGATGTACCTTTTAAAGCAACGTGAAAAACACAGAGAGGCGCCAGGTTTACGCCTTTGTGTTCGCCTGGGGTTGCCAATGGGGGAGAAAAAAAACCCTGAGAGGGAAAGGAGAAGAATGGAAACCCAGCCAACAGGGCAGAGCTGCCCATGGAGTGACCTTGCCACAGCTGGCTGGGAGCTGAAAGCAGAGCTCAGACAGCATCCCCTGGCCCTGAGGAATGGCAGAGGCTGCTCCCCACCCTTGTGGCATTGGCCGGTCCATTCCCCACCCCTCGCCCCCAAAACAATGCACATAATACTTTTCTCTATTTATATTATTATCTTGTATAGTGTATAATGTGAATGTCTGGGTTTTGGTTCTTTGGATTTTTTTTG